CTCGCCAACGAGCATCCAGCCACAGCTGGTTATTCTGGGACGTGCCCCTCCCAGCTCAGCCTGGCTTCACCATGAACCCTGCACTTAGCCGCCCACAGATGGAGGGAGGGCCTGGAAGGGTCTCTAGGGGGGGCCATCCAACTGGTGCACAGCACCCCTGCTCAGCCAAACCCAGGGTGGCTTGGGGCTGCTCTTCCCCACTGCTAAATGGGGACCCACTCCCAACTGGTTATTCTGGGACGTGCCCCTCCCAGCTCAGCCTGGCTTCACCATGAACCCTGCACTTAGCCGCCCACAGATGGAGGGAGGGCCTGGAAGGGTCTCTAGGGGGGGCCATCCAACTGGTGCACAGCACCCCTGCTCAGCCAAACCCAGGGTGGCTTGGGGCTGCTCTTCCCCACTGCTAAATGGGGACCCACTCCCAAAGCCCCAGCTGGCTGGGAGGGCTTAGGCCAGAGCACAACTCCTCCCTTTCCTCTCCAACGCAGGCAGCTCCTACAGCCAGCAGGAGGCGCCAGATCCACAGCCACACAAGTCCCCCAACCCCGCCCAGCTCCCCTCTCCTGCTACCGTCCCCCCCACCCTCTGCCTTCTCCACTCCTGATGGCCCTGGCTGGATTTAGGATTCACTTGGGCGGGTGCCTTGGTAAATTCTTTCCACCCGGCTCCATCAGCGCAGACGGCAGCAACTGCCGGGCCCCTAAATCTCTCTGCCTGCATCCCTCGTCCTGCTCTGCTAGTGCCAACCTGCAGCCCTCCCCCTCACCCAGTGTTCCCTGTAAGCTGAGCACTCAGGCGACCACCCAGGAGAGATTCAGGTGCCGTCCAGCTGTTTAGCAGAGCGCCTACAGCCGGCAGCATGTGTTTCTGTGGGTGGTGCACATCTGCACTTGCCTTGGTGCGCAGAACAAAATGTATTCCGCACATGGGTGGAAAAAATTTGAGGGAACGTTGCCCCCACCCTGCCGGCGCTCTTTGAAAGCCTGACCTCACTAGCACCTGCTACCTGCACTGCCTGGCACAAGGGGCATCGGCGTCCAACAAGCTAAGGCAGGTCAGAGCCGAGATCTCAGGGCTGGGAGGCCACATGTATGTGTGCCCAGGGACGGGGTGTAATTTGCTGTCTGGCTCCGGCGGGTTATGATCAGCCACCCTGGGATGGGGGCCCAGCTGCAGAAGTGTCTTGCACGTGGCTGCCTCCCCCCACCCCCGCACCCTGGTTGCCTCACGCCCACCCAGCAGCTCCGTGTGCTCTGCCAAGGACGTTGCTCCAACTCACACACAGCTGCCAGCCTTTCGCAGCTCCCAGTGGCTGGAGCAGGACTCCTCCGAGGGGGAGCCTTTGGGTCAGTTCAGGCTCAGATCCATCATAGGGAGATGGGCCAGAGTCAGGAAGTTCTGGGCCGGAGCCAACCTGCCCCCCGACACCAAGAGGGACCATTGGGTCGAGGGGGTTTAACTCAGATGTGTTGACCAAGGCCACAGAAAGAATCGGTGGCGGAGGCTTCTGATCAACTAGTCTTTGCCTCCGAGGTGACACGGGGCAGAGAACCTCACCCTCCCACACTGAGACCTAGACACACGCTCCTCCTTCCCTACTAGCAGCCACGAATTCTGACTCTGCTGCTACATAAAGCCTCGGGGACTTATTTAAGCCCCCTGAGGAGGCTGCGTGTCCAGCAGAACCCCTCCTCTCTGACCTAGCCTGTCTTGTCTCCAAACGTAGAACAATGCTCAAAGCTCTGCGCACATTATAAATGGGGAAACTGAGGCACGGAGGGGGGAAGTGGAGGCCACGCCGCCGGTGTTGGGCTAGTGGCATCTGTGCTCTGAAATGGCACGGGGTGGGCAGGGCTTGAATCCCCCTCTATGGAGACTCAGCTTCAAACCCCGCTTCTCCGTCTTGCTCTGCCCACCCAGGTTCAAATCCCTGACTCCCTTACAGCAGGCAGAGGCCTGACGTGCTGGCGGAAAGCGGAGCATCCCCGGAGCTCTGCTTTGAATCAGGAGCGGCTCTAACAAGCCTTGATTAACCGTCACATCCGAGCAAGCAGCCCAGGGAAGCTCCAATTTCCTCCCCAAACCTCCAACTGCGGCACAAACTGCTCCTGCCGCACCGAGAGCTGTAAATGTCAGCGGCAGCTTGAGACGCAGCTAGCCCAACACAACTCCATGTCAAGAGAGACGCTCGGCCTCCACCCAGCTCCAGAACGAGCCAAGCAATGTTCCTGCTAATTAGTTCCATCCATGTGTGGAATAAATGTTACTCTGCGCACCGAGGCATGTGTGGAGGTGCACCACCAGCAGGAACACAGGGTGCCGGAGGGGGATACGCTGCTCATCAGCTGGATGGTATTTGAACCTCTCCTGGGCAGCCACCCAAGTGTTCAGCTTCCAGGGAACACAGGAGCCAAGACTAGCCTGAAAATACCCCACAATCGCAGGTAGCAGGCCCAAGGTAGCCGCCAGAATCCAGTGCTCCAAGCTCAGCCTGGGAACTCCTACCCCAGCTCACACCCCTTCTTACAGCTAGGCAACATGCGCCGAGATAGTTCGCCCACACACGGCGCCTCTTTCCAAAGCTACAGGAAAGGATCACTTCGCTCACCATGGAAATGCGGCCAGCTCTGGGGTAGGACGCACTAGCTGCTAACAGCAACAGGGCCCGGTGGGACACGAAGGGTGAGGACCCCACCGTGGAGAGTTGGGAATCTCCAGGCTCACGCATTGGGAAGCTGGTGCCCACTGCTCCCGGGAAATGCCTCCGGCTTTGAGTGTGGGGATTGCAAGCCACCACCCGCTCCCAACCCTGCAGTGCCGGGCTCCAAAGCTTCACCCCTGTGGTCCCCTGTGGGAGGCAGAGGAGATAAACGAGTGTTACTGAGATTAGCCCTCCCGTGTGCCCCTCCCAACAGGACTGGGAAATGGGGTCACGGCAGGTGACCCCGATCCTGTAAA